CCAATTTATCTACACTAAGGGTTTGGCACAGGCCTGGCCCAGAACAAGCACCCTATGAGTTTACTGTTATTTGAATACCCAGAGGCCTCCTGGCTCTGAGTGCTCTGTTAGGGAGGACCTTGCTGGGATCTCAAAGTAGTGGGCATTGAGGCCAGGGATAGAGAGTTAAGATCACAGGGGTTGTGGGAACCCTTGGAGCTGCTGAAGCTCTGGCTGTGCCACCTCCCACCCAAGAGCCTGGATGTAGGAGATAAAAGCCCAGAGCAGGGTTAGCCTCATGTGTTCCTGGTGACTCAAACTTTGTTTCTAGCAGCCAAAACAAATCGCTGTGAAATTCACATCTGTGCCACTTGCCCACCAGGCCCTTCCCACCCCTCCCTCAAGGCGCCAGCCCTTCCTGTCTGTACACAGGAATGGAGGCTGCACAGGTGGCCACCAGACCTCAAAGGAGGCCCCATCCACCTCAGAGCATAGCCAGCTGACTTCATTGTGGGGGTGGGGAATCTCCTGAAGTCCAGCTTTGTTCTATTAGGAATTTCCCTAGAAGAAAGGAGAGAAAGGGAGCTACAAATGAAGGGGGCAGTTTCTGTAAAGATCCAGAAACTGGCCTGGGGTTGTAGCTCAACTCAGATTGCTTGCCTGGCATGCATGAGGCTCTGGGTTTGGTCCCCCTCACCCCACTGTAAACCAGGTGTGTGGTAAATGCCTATCATCCTAGCATTGAAGAGTTACAAAGTAGAAAGATGAGAGTTCATTCTCAGCTACATAATGAATTAAAGGCCAGCCTGGGCTACATGAAACCCTGTCTCAAAAACAACAGTTAAATTCCAGAGGTTAAAGGCCTAATACAAAAGATAGATTCCAAGCCAGGTATGGTGCACACCTGTAATCTCAGCGCTTGGAAGACTGAGGCAGGGTGAGATGGAGCTGGAATTTGAGGCCAGTCTGGACTATACAGTAAGGCTTTGTCTCAAAAAACTATTTTTTCACTGTAAACTATATGGCTTAAAAAAACAGGCATTAGCCTGGTAGTGGTGCATGCCTTTAACCCCAGCACTTGGGAGACAAAGGCAGGTGACTCTCTGAGTATGAGGCTAGCCTGGTCTGCAGAGTGAGTTCCAGGACAGCCAGGTCTATACAGTAAAAATCCTGTCTCAAAAAGTGGGGGGGGGGGGGGAAAAAAAAAGAAAACGGGGGTGGTGGTAGCAAGCAGATCTCTGTGAGTTAAAGATGAGCCTGGGCTACAAAGTGAGTTCCAGGACAGCCAAGGCTGTTACACAGAGAAACCCTGTCTTGAAAAACCAAAACCAAACAAAAAGCTGGTATTTGCTTGGTGTTGGTGGTGCACATCCTTAATCCCAGAACTTATCGGGCAGAGGCAGGCAGATCTCTGTGAGTTCAAGGCCAACCTGGTCTACAGAGCAAGTTCTAGGACAGTCAAGGCTGTTCCATAGTGAAAACCTGTGTTGAAAACCAAACCCTGAAAAACAATAAAAACAGGCATTTGTCGTCCTGCATTCTAGAGTTAATTTTTGTTTTGTCGTTTCTTTTTTTTTTTAACGATATGATTTCTCTGAGTAGTCCTGGCTGTCCTGGAACCAGTTCTGTAGATCAGGCTGGCCTCAAACTCAGAGGTCTTCCTGCCTCTGCCTCCTGAGTGCAGGATTAAAGGTGTGCACCACATTGCCATATTGTAGAGTTTAAAAGTCAGAGTGTTGGTAGGACCATACTAAGAAGGTGTTAGAGAGGGTCATCCCTTCCTCTTCCAGACTCTGGGGCTACCTGTGGCCCTTTGCTTGTGGCCATGTAATTCTCATCGCTGCCTCTGTCTTCATAGGCTTCTGTCCCTACTCGTCCTGTTTTGGTTATTAAGGGCACCTGTTCTTTGATGTAAGCCATCATAATAATGAAGGGTGATATGTCAAATAATACTCAGGAGGTGCAGGACTGTCCTCCTAGCCAGGTGGAACACTGAGGCAGGAGGATGGGAAGTCCAAGGCCCGCCTGAGCTACGTAGAGAGAAACTGTCTCAAAAGAAAAATTTACAAAAGAGCTAGAGATGTACCTTATCTGTAGAATGCTAGTCTAGAATCCCCCAGTTAGGGTCTAGGGGCAGCAGTAGAGCACCTGCCTAAAATCCTGCAGTGAGGGGCTGTGGGTGTGGCTCAGCTGTAGAGTGCTTACCTAGCATACATAAAGCCTCAGGTTCAATCCTCGATGATGGGGAAAACAAGCAAACAAACAACACCTTAATCACACAAACAAGACCCCTTTGTCAGATAAGGCCCACTCCTAGGCTCCAGAGTATGTCTCATTTTAGCAGCAGAGTGAACACTAGTCAGTCCACTAAGGTAGGTGTCACCCTTTCTGGCTCCTCACTCCACCTGTGGAATGGGGCTGATGCTGCCCCACATTCTGGGCAGCTTCAAGGCAGAGAGAAGCCTGCACAGCTAGATCTTTCTGCCAGCGTCCCCACTTCTAGTATGTTTTCTCTGCTTGCTCCCTATGCCCTGTTCTACTCTTTCTTTTGTTTTGTTTCTTGAGACATTTTCCAACTCACCAAATCTACTGCCTGCCTCCCTCCGTCCTAGAGGTTCTCTTCAAGTCATTTGGTCTGTGACTGGGCCTCTCCTCTGCTTGAGTATCTAACTGTCCCTGGTATGTGACTCCAGGTCTGTTTCTATTTCTCTGCCCTTTTATACCTACCTGGTGTCTTTACGAATCTTAGAATCTCCATCCTTTTTGTTTCTATTCTGTCCCTTGGTGTCTGTCTCATCGTACGTCTATGCATCCGTTTGACTCTGTCTAGTCTCTGTCCTTGCCTGCCCACCCCGCTCCATTAATCCCATGGATGGGCCTCCCTGTTTCTATCTCTAATGTATTTCTTTTTTCTTTTTCTTTTTTGTTTGTTTGTTTGTTTGTTTGTTTTTTCAAGATACGGTTTCTCTATTTAGCCCCAGCTGTCCTGGAACTTACTTGTAGACCAGGCTGGCCTCGAACGCAGAGATCTACCTGCCTCTGCCTCCTGATTGTTGGGATTAAAAGCATGCACCATCGCCCCGTGCCCCTCCCCCACCCCCAGCTTCTAATGTTATGTCTTTGTGTCTGCCTCTTTCCACCTCTGTGTCCTTCTGTGACTCATTCTTGTTCTCTGTGGGCTGTTAGTTATTTTGACAAGGTCTTACTGTGTAGCCTAGGATGGCTTTAACTCCTCAGCCTCCTCAGTGCTGGGATCACAAGAGGAAATCATCATGCTTGGTCTCCTTTCCTTTCCTGGTATCATGCTTTTCAGTGCCTGAGCCCATGTCTCTCTCTGACACTCTCTCTCTCTCTCTCTCTCTCTCTCTCTCTGTGTGTGTGTGTGTGTGTGTGTGTGTGTGTGTGTGTGTGTGGTGTGTGTATGTGTCTGTCTGTCTCTCTGTCTCTCCTTTCTGCATGGCATCTTGCTCGTTTTTTTGTTTGTTTTGTTTTTTTCTCTTTAAGCCTGTCTCTCTGTGTCTCTGTGACGCTAATGTGTCTCTGTACTTGTCTCTCCTTCCTTCCTGGTTCTGACATGAAGTCTCTGTGTCTATTTCTCTGTTTCTCCCTCCTACCTGACATCCCCCCCCAACACCCTGTCCCTTCTCCCCAGCCTCAGCTGGGCTCCAGTCTTCTCACCCTCCCAGTCCCCCAAGCCTCTGCTTCCCCCTCTCGGCCAGCGGTCTTTCTGCACTCCAGGTCTCCAGTGCCCTGTCCATTCTGGCCTTGGCACCTAGAGCAGGGGTCCTCGGGCTCTCTCAGCTTCACTGCACCTCCCTTCCCAGGGTTGGGCTCAGGGGTGCGGCCCTTTCTATTGCGGAGGTCCCCAGGCAAACATCAGATCAGTGGGAGCAAGCGGGTGGGGAAGAGGGAAGCAGGACCAGAGGTGATGGAGGTGGGGGTAGGGAGGGAGCGAGGAAAGAGGAGGAGGAGATGGAAAGAGGGAGAGGCAGCACAGGGCGAGGGAGGAGGTGAGATAGAAGGGAAGGCAGAGTCGAGCAGGGAGGAGGAGGAGGAAGGAGGGAAGAAGAGAAGGCAGGGTGAGG